TGAAGGGGATTTCTAAAAACCCCTAAAGTTCTCTGATAGTTTGAAAGTATATGGAAGCTATCTGATAATCGCGTACAGTTAAGGGTTTTTTTGGAACTTAGCGTATACTTTTCATCCTCACTCTCAGAAAGAACTCGTTTTGAGAATAGGTTTTAGGTGATATTTCTTGCGAGATCTCAAGAAGTTAGCCGGCAGGAATTTGGCCCGTCCTCTTCACTACCAAAACTGAAGAGACCACTTTCTCAATCTTTTTCTTTTCTTTTTTCCTTGGCAGGCACAACCTTCTCAGTCTCAAATGTGCGCATATCTGTTGGAGTTGAGGAAGCGGGATGGGTTGAGAATGGAGGAAATAGGAGGGAAAATGAGAAGAGACTAAGAACTTGAAGAAACTTTGTATGAATTGCTTCAAAGCTTATTTACGATGCTTACATCCATTGCCTATTTATAGGCACATATAGAACTATCTAGAGCATAGATATTTTATATGAAACATTCTAGAGTATTGTATCATACACCACTCTTCTAGATATATCTTATTTGCATCATATTTCTAGGCCTACTTATTTCTAGGACCTTTGCATATTACAAGATTATTGTAGAGTGTTCTAGAGAATTACAAATTACTTCTAACATCCCTCCTTAATTTGTAATTCCCAACTCATTTCTAAATTGTATAAACTTTTTGGAGGGTAATGCTTTTATGAAGATGTCTGCTAGATGTTCATTTGTTGAGATGAACTCTAGCTCGATCTCATTATCTTCAATAAGCTTTCTGATAAAATGATGACGAATCTCAATATGTTTGGTTTTAGCATGGAAGACTGGATTCTTTGTCATGGCTATTGCAGACTTGCTGTCACAATAGAGAGTAGTCGGTGACTCTTGGTCTTGTTGTAAATCAGATACAATCCTTCGAAGCCAGACTGCTTCGCCTACGACATTTGTAGCTGAAATATACTCTGCTTCTGCAGATGAGAGAGCTATGATCTGTTGTTTCTTTGAGGTCCGGGATATTACCTTAAATCCTAGAGTGAAGACATATCCTGAAGTGCTTTTGCGATCATCAATGCATCCAGTCCAGTCGCTGTCAGTGTAGCCAGATAATGCATTGTCTTCTTCTGTTGTGTATTTGATTCCCATACTCTTTGTTCCTTGAAGATATCGAAGAACCCGCTTTTCTGCTCCATAATATAGCTTACTTGGATTGCTCATGAATCTGGACACAATGCTTACATCATACAATATGTCTGGCCTAGTGTTTGTGAGGTAGATTAGCGATCCGAGTATGCTTCTGTAACTTGAGGCATCCACCTTTGGCGCTCCATCGTTCGTTAATAGCTTTTCATTTAGCAATGCTGGTGTAGCTACTGGATTGCAATTCTTCATGTTGAACCTCTTCAGAACCAATGCTGGTGTAGCTACTGGATTGCAATTCTTCATGTTGAACCTCTTCAGAAGATCTTCGCAGTATTTCTCTTGATTGATGAATATTTCTCCTTCAGTTTGTTTTACTTGTAGTCCCAGAAAATATCTCATCAATCATAAATCTGTCATCTCAAAATCTTCTTTCATCTTTCTTTTAAATTCTTCAATCATCATGGTGTTAGTACCATAATAAATTAAATCATCAACATATAGGCAAACGATAAGGAAGTCCGCACCTTTTTTCTTCACATATAGAGATGGTTCACTCGGGCTCCTTTGAAATCCATTCTCGTGGAAGTAGCTGTTAATTTTGCTATTCCAAACCCGCGGTGCTTGCTTCAACCCGCATAGTGCTTTGTGCAACCGATAAACTTTGTTTTCTTCTTTCTTGACTTTGTAGCCCTGTGGTTGCTCGACATAGACTTCCTCTTCGAGTTCTCCATTTAGGAATGCTAACTTGATATCTAGTTGAAATACTTTGAGCTTGAGCTGTGCTACCGTCCTTATGGTCTCCATACGAGCAACTGGGGCAAATGTCTCATTGAAGTCGACTCCTGGTCGCTGAGAGTAACCCTTTGCGACTAATCGAGCCTTGAGTTTCTGAATGGAGCCATCTTCATTGTACTTGGTTTTGTATATCCACTTAAGGCCAATGACCTCCTTTGCTTCTGGAAGATTCACCAGCTCCCATGTCTTGTTCTTCTCGATCATGTAGATTTCTTCATCCATTGCTTTTCTCCAACCTTCATCTTGAACAGCTTCATCCGTTGCTTATTCTCAATCCATCCCGCTTCCTCAACTCCAATAAATTTGGTATCAGAGCCATCCTTTTCCACCTCAAATCAATCTTGAAATCATTTAGCCTTTCACTACCATTCTAAATGGCAGCCTCATAAGCAATTGTCTCTTCTCTTTTTAATTACTCTCAAAACTTAGTACCCATTTTTTACGGCGAAAACTATAACTTCTGGAGCCTCCAAATGAAGACACTCTTCATCTCTTAAGAACTTTGGGAGCTTGTCGAAGAAGGCTATGAAGGTCTAGATGACTTAGCAATATTAGCATCACGGACACCAGCAAAGCAAAAGGAGTATAAAGGGAACAAGAAAAAGGATGCGAATGCGCTTCTCTTTATCCAACAAGGGGTAACCAAAGCAATCTTTTCCTAAATAATGTCTGCGTCAAAATCAAAGGATGCATGGGTCATACTCAAACAAGAATTCAAGGGCTTCGATAAGGTAATCTTTATCAAACTACAATCTTTATGGAGAGACTTTGACAACATAAAGATGAAAGATAATGAATCCGTGAAAGAAATTTCTGATAGAGTTACCTCAATTATTAATCAAATTAGAAGCTATGGGGATAAAATAGAGGATAAAAAGATAGTTGAGAAGATACTAAGAAGTCTTCCCCCTACATGAGATCATATTGTTACTGCCATAGAAGAATCTAAAGACTTATCAAAATTAAGTTTTTATGAACTAATGGCTTCTTTGGAGTCACATGAGCTTAGAAGAAGCAGATTTTCAAGCCAAGAGGTGGAGCAAGCGTTTCAATCAAAACTAATATTTTCAAGGAAAGGAGGAGATGGAACTAAAGAAAATAAAGAAAGAAGATTTTCTCAGAAAGTACAAGATGAAAGAGGCAACTACCATGAAAGAAAGTTTGGGAGATAAGAAAAAATTAATGAGAGAGACAAAGATTTCTCAAAAGGTAAGTCTACCTCCTATTGTAAAATATGTAGTAAGTCTGGACATAACACATACAACTGTAAGTTTAAATGCACAAACTGTAGAAATGTTAATCACTCCAAAAAAGATTGCTGATATCAGAAAAATAATAAAGTCCACTATACAGAAGTAGAAACCGATCACCTATTTTATTCAGGTTTTAATGCACAATCAGAAGAAAAGGATACTTGGTATTTGGATAGTGGATGCAGCAATCATATGACAGGAAATAAGAGCATCTTCGTAGAGTTAAAGGATGAAACAAGCTCTCAAATAAAGCTTGGAGATGGAAAATTACAAAATATTGAAGGAAAGGGAGTGATAGCAGTCCAGACAAAGGGAGATAAGACGAAATACATCTCAGATATTCTTTATGTTCTGGGGCTAACTCAAAATTTACTTAGTGTGGAACAATTAATTCAAAAAGGCTATGCAATCAATTTCTTTAAGAATGAATGTGTGATAATAGATGACAAGAATAAGCAAAGAGTGGCTATAATAAAAATGGCTCCTAACAAAGTTTTTCCCTTTAAAATGTCAATAGAGAATCTTGCACTCAAATCAGAAGAAAATAATGATTCTCTATTATGGCATCAAAGATATGGCTACTTAAACTTCAAGAGTCTAAATTTGCTAAAAATGAAGAATATGGTGATAGGACTCCCACACATAAATAAAGAAGAAAAAGTTTGTGAATGATGCATTTATGAAAAAATGCATCGGTTACCATTTACTAAAACATATTGGAGAGCAAAAGCCTCATTAGAATTAGTACATTCTGATGTTTGTGGCCCAACACAAACACCATCAGAAGTATTCTCAAAGTTTATTGAGTATAAGGCTCTTGTAGAAAAGCAAAGTGGCCATAAATTGAAAGTTCTGAGAACTGATCATGGAGGAGAGTTCACTTCCAATGAATTTCAAAGTTTCTGCAAAAAATATGGAATTAAAAAGGAGCTAACAACAAGGTACACTCCACAACAAAATGGAGTTGAGGAAGCGGGATGGATTGAGAATGGAGGAAATAGGAGGGAAAATAAGAAGAGGCTAAGAACTTGAAGAAACTTTGTATGAATTGCTTCAAAGCTTATTTACAATGCTTACATCCATTGCCTACTTATAGGCACATATAGAACTATCTAGAGCATAGATATTTTATATGAAACATTCTAGAGTATTGTATAATACACCACTCTTCTAGATATATCTTATTTGCATCATATTTCTAGACCTACTTATTTCTAGAATCTTTGTATATTACAAGATTATTGTAGAATGTTCTAGAGAATTACAAATTACTTCTACCAATATCTAATGCATGATTAATTTCTAATGTACATAGTGAAACTCATCGAAACTCATCATTACATGATGAGTAGTTATGAAAAATGAATTAAATAATCTGAAGTATATACATCATTAAGCTTTGGATTCGGCAACCAAATTCTCCTCCTCATTTTAAACTACTCAGGCTTAAATAGTTTTAGTGGCTATAGATTTAAAGTGGATATATATATACGTACACACACATACACCCACGCTTGGTTACGCTTGGCTGTAAGTGAACGGCACGCAACTTGCAAGAAATATCATTTATTTCTTCCTTTAATTTCCCTAGTAATTTCCACTCCAAGAGGGATACCTTCTGCTCGTACAAAACGATAAAAGACACGTTTTGCTGCCTTTCACCCACTTTCTTGCATTCAACAATCCCATCTTTCGAAACAAACGCCCACAATGCAATAGCCGAACAAAAGGCATATCCAACTCTAACAAAAAATCCATATATATATATATATATATACCCATCAAACCAATTAAACATACATAGATCCTTCAGCCATGAAATCGACAGTACTCATCACTATGCTACTTGTGCTCACGTCGGCAACTCAAGCGGCGGTCGAGCCTACGTGCTTCGGCGGCAAGTATGAGCCGGGAAGCAGGCAGGAATCCAACGTGCACGCTGTGCTCGACAGCATCCTCGCCAACACCGTCAACGCGCCCAACCGCCAGCTCACGGTTCGTATGGAGTCGCCGGACGTTTTCGGGTATTCGAGCTGCGATTTAGGACTGCCGGAGGGGGACTGCAGTTACTGTATCAGTGTGGGTGTGTCGAGTATTAGGGATAGGTGTAATGGGTATGTTGGGGCTAGTGTGGATGAGGAGGGCTTTTGCCATGCTCAGTATAATTAACTAGTTGTGGGAAATTGGTTTCTCTTTTTAGGTTTCTCCATTTCTGTTGTGATGAATAAATAACTTCCTTAATATTGCATGTTTTATTCATAAACTCCACTTACGGACCAACAAATGTAAGGGAAAGTTTTTCCTAAGAATAATGCTTATTGTTTTAGTAACTCGCTGACGTAAATCTCCTCATTATCTGAAAAGGCATATCCAACTCTAACAAAAAATCCATATATATATATATATATATACCCATCAAACCAATTAAACATACATAGATCCTTCAGCCATGAAATCGACAGTACTCATCACTATGCTACTTGTGCTCACGTCGGCAACTCAAGCGGCGGTCGAGCCTACGTGCTTCGGCGGCAAGTATGAGCCGGGAAGCAGGCAGGAATCCAACGTGCACGCTGTGCTCGACAGCATCCTCGCCAACACCGTCAACGCGCCCAACCGCCAGCTCACGGTTCGTATGGAGTCGCCGGACGTTTTCGGGTATTCGAGCTGCGATTTAGGACTGCCGGAGGGGGACTGCAGTTACTGTATCAGTGTGGGTGTGTCGAGTATTAGGGATAGGTGTAATGGGTATGTTGGGGCTAGTGTGGATGAGGAGGGCTTTTGCCATGCTCAGTATAATTAACTAGTTGTGGGAAATTGGTTTCTCTTTTTAGGTTTCTCCATTTCTGTTGTGATGAATAAATAACTTCCTTAATATTGCATGTTTTATTCATAAACTCCACTTACGGACCAACAAATGTAAGGGAAAGTTTTTCCTAAGAATAATGCTTATTGTTTTAGTAACTCGCTGACGTAAATCTCCTCATTATCTGAAACTTCAAAACAAAACGCCCAGTTCATATGACCATTAATAAAAGCATTAATTAGTTTATTTCACTCAAAAATAAAACCATTAGTTTACAGGGGAGTTTTGTTCTTCTTCGGTAAGTCAGGGAAGACGTTTGCACTTGTTAATGGACATTAAAAGGAATTAATGATATTATCAAAAAATCCCAACATAAAAAAGAGAATAAATTATGAATAGTCCATTCTGTATGTGATTATATATGTATCCATTTTTCCGGTGGTAATGTTCTTGCCAGTTGCCAAAAACAGATCGACATGGATAGTAAGACAATCATAAAAGTATCCAACATATCTAAATACGTCAAATTTGTTACAAACACAGAAATTATTTAAAGTTTTTTTTAATAATGCATGATTTTATTGATATTGTTAAAATAAGGAGAGAACAAGTTGAAGAAGAACATTTCAAGTTTGATCAGGCGATTAGTGTCAACGTTACATTCACATAATATGCTTTATGCGGTGATAACTGAAAAGAGGACCAAAGTTTGATGGGAGGCTCTCTACTCGGAAGCAAGCTATAAAAGTGAATTGATTGAAAGAGTTTAATTATCTGCAACTTATCCTTCTCGAAATGCATAAAAATGGGGTATTTATACGTAAAATATGTCATATTTTAGATTAGCAGAATTTTTTAAAATAGACCGGTTTTGAAAAATATTTAGCAAAACCGACCTTTTTTTTTGTCAAGCTCACCAAGGCTGGCCAAAAAAGGTCAGTTTTGCTGAATTTGGGTTCAGAAAACCACGGGACTAGTGGTCCCGTGGGTTTTCTCTTGACAAATACAAAACCAGCCTTTTTAATCAGGGATACATGCCAAGAGCCTGGGCGTCGTGGAACCTTTCGTCGATGGAGGGGGCCATGAGGTGGATCCCCTGCTCCAGCAGCTCGATCTTGGGGATGATGAGAGATTGGGAGGAGGAGGGGGAGGAGGAGATGGTGAGGGTCTGGAGGAGGTTGGTGAAGAGGGAGGGCTGGAAGTCACTATGCCAGAGGAAGGGGATCTCAAGCGGGGAGCGTCGGGGTCTGGGGAGAGGAGCTAAGAGACGTCGTGGTGAGCGGTAAGGTTGAGGGCTAGGTAGTAGGCCTGGAAGTGGGAGAGGAGAGTGAAGGTGTAGGAGGACAAGAGGTCGGAGGATGATATTAGGACCCTGCCAAAGATGACGATGGGGGAGTTGCTGGAGGAGAGGGAGAGGGAGAGGGATCGTTGGAGGTTGGGGAGGATGGTCGACCTGAGGCTGCAATTCCATTTTCAGAGTGGAAGAAGTTTAGTGGCTAGTTTTGTATTTGTGAAGAGAAAACCCACGATACTAGTAGTTACATGGGTTTTCTGAGTTCAGATTAGTGGTCGATTAGCGGCTACTAAATACACGGGACTACTTGTCTCATTTGTTTTAAAACCTAAATTCAACAAACCCGACCTCTTTTTTGTCAGCCTTTGTTTAAAAACCCAAATTTAGTAGTCCCGTGAGCTGGCCAAAAAGAGATCAGTTTTGCTATATATTTAGCACAACGGTCGGTTTTGATAAATATTTTCTAAAACCGTTCTATTTCAAAAAAATTCTCCTTTAGATTAAATCTTTAAATATAGAGAACTTGACATCAGGTACTTAAAAATATAGAGTGATTTGCCATATATCTTCTACCATCTATCTCCTTCATTTGTTAACACTTATCATTCATAAATTTCTAAGTGGAGAGGTTGTTTGAAATTAATCTTTCTCAAAATATCACTTGTGAGAAGTGTTGATAAACGAGTATTACTCCCATTAGGTGGCAATTGGAGAGAATCCAATTACTCATATCGTATATCTCTATGTGCGTTGAAAGATCATTCTTTTTAATGCGTATTTCAATTTTAAGGAATAATATCACGTCACGTAATATTTACCTGATGTTTTGAGGACCACAATTGTCTTCAAAACTACTCATGTACTGAGATGAGCAAAAGAATAACTAAGTATTTGAACCCTCTCTAATTATCATCTAATTAGAGTGGATCTGAATTCTATCAAAATAAATGGATAAAAGAACTTGTCGATAGTCTATCCTAAAAAAGGGACAGTTTTATAGTACTCTACCGTTCTCAGTTTAGTAATCCGCATCCTAGCTAAAAGTTTTTGTTTCTCTTTCAGACTAGAAATCATCATCTTAGTAGTTCCTCTGTTTCTCCTCCCATTCCAGGAACAATATGTTGCCGAACGAAAAGAATCATTCCACTTATATATATATACACACTAAAACATAAGTCTACTGTCATTCAACAGAATCACCAAGGGGAAAAAAAAGGTATAAGATGGCTCTTGTATCCACGGAAAAAATTCTGACCATCGCCGTACTGTGCATTTGGGTAACTCAAGCCGCCGCCGATACTAACTGCTACGCCAGGGCGTACTTGCCCGGGAGCAGCGGAGAGGCAAACGTGCTGACCGTACTGGAGAGCATGCGCACGGCGACAGCCAGCGTCGAGGGGCGCTACTACACGGTGCGCCTTGAGAACCCTGAGGTGTTCGGGGTCTCCAGCTGCGATGTCAGTATTGGGGTTGACGACTGCATTGCTTGCCTGAGTACAAGCGTGGATAATATCAAGGCTGTGTGTCCTCGATGCCTCGGGGCCAGCGACGTTCAGGGGACTGACTGCCGTGTTCAGTACCTCTAGTTATGGGATTGGGCTGGTTTGAGTTTGTTGGGGGGTTTTGAGATCGTTTTCTTTTCCTTCTTGGGTTTGGGTTTGAGTTTGAGTTCTAGAGTGTGCTGTATTGCATAATTTGCATATGTGATTCGTGTGTTCATATGTTGTATACGAATAAATCCTCGGCTATGAAATAAACACTGTTGTGGATATCCATCCATCAAGGTACCTCCATTACAAATTGGTTGAATTTCACAAAAACCCCTAACTTTTGGCTTAATAGTTCCTCTAAAATTTAAAAAATGCCACTCAACTCCTCTTAAGTTATAATAAGCTCTTCTCACGAAATCCCCATGAAAGGCCTCGTGTGTTCATGAGAATCATTCCGATCACTGCAGTTTTGATGACCATTTGAGCAAATATATCTGGGATTCGGATCCTCTCCACTACAAAAAAAATAGTGGAGGGACCACTACATAATCACAACCATTGATTATCTAGTTGATGGTTATGATTTTTTTCTTTTAGTGCAAAGTAGGAATGAGTGCAATACATGGGGGTATGGTAAGTGTTAGATTTAGATTGTATCATAACCGCCTACTAAATAATCAACGCTTGAGATTAAAAGTAGTGGTCTCTCCACTACTTTTTTGTAGTTCAACGCTTGAGATTAAAAGTAGTGGTCTCTCCACTACTTTTTTGTAGTGGAGAGGATCCAAATCCATATATCTGTTGCTGGCACTCAGCTGCTTCATTGCCATATATGAGCCACTGGCAGATATACATAAGATTTTAGGAAAAGTGGTGTTACTATATAATTAATAAAAAAAAAGTTTACAACGGTCATTGATAAGATTTCATAGCTTGAGAAAGTGCATAGTCGCATCCTTAATAGCATATCAAATACATCTTTCTCAATATTATGCCACAAAGTAATCATTAATAAGACAATCGTATTCACTTAATTGATTCAACTTGTTAATTCTCTATTAAGCTTCATTGTGGAAAAAGCTTTTTCCACGAATATCGTAGTCGCGTGGCACCACTATCCTAAATTCAATTGCATTCTCTTTCTTCTACTCGATTCAAT